TTTGTTTCATAGGTTTTATTTATCTGCAAGCAAAAAAAGTTAGTTGAGGGACACTTGAGGTGTCTTTGCTGACTGAGCTACACCACACTATGGCCTTTTTTATCAAAAGACAAACAAAATATTGGAAAGCTGTGATTCTTCATTAGCTTCTGCAATAGACAACTTTAAAATCTATGAAACAATAATTCTTAAAAAGAAAAACTGCACTGTCCAAATGTATTTAACTGTAGTTGAGTTTGGTGCACAAAAAAGACATGCATCACTAAAACACTGCCTCCTCCCCACTAATAACCTAAAACTGCTGTCCAAACCCACTGACAAACCAAACCAGCTACCGACCAGCGTGTTCGTGCCTACTGTAAATTCACTTCTCACAGCGGTTGGTCTTGGCTGCCGACCTACCCACGCTGTCTTCAAGCTTCATTAGTCCAGCTTTGCGTTGAGAGAGCAGCTTGTGTGTGTCCTTAACGCAGGCGTTTAAGACTGCACAGATGTAATAGTACGGTAATATCATAATCTACAGACTGTCAAATTCTATCTGTCTCCACTGGCAGCAAGCTAGCTGCTTCACTAGCCAGCTCTGGAAGGACCAACACTTTTCCAACCAGGAGCTGTGCCAGTCCCAAGAGGGGAAAAAAAGAGATGAATGAGAGAAGACGAAGAGCATGGAAAAGAGAGGAAAGTGATAGAAAGGGGAATGGAAGAAGAGTTGGATAAAGGTTAAAAGACCCAGGAGATTGAGAATTAATACAAAGTAGGTGGTAGATAGAGATGCGTACAGCCTCGCAATGTCAACTGATGTGGTGAGTGATACAAAAAGGAAGGAAATAATGGAAAAGAGAAAGAAAGAGGGGGAGAGGAAGAATAGAGATAAGGCAGGTAATGGGTGATTGAGAGGTTTTCCCCATGTGTGTTTACTAAAAACTGTAATTCAGAGGTTCCTGTGATGCCTGATACCTTGTCTTGAACCTGGGTACTGCCTTAGTGTGTGTTTGTGTGTGCACTGGCACCAGTGTGTGTATGTGTGTGTGCGTGTGTGTGTGTGAATGAGTGTTGGAGGAAGTCTAAAGCCCTGTTTCCCATGCGTGTAATCATCCCAGGATGAGGTGGAGGATGAAGCCGAGCGGGACTTCCCCCTGCACCAGAGGGTATTTTCCTCTTGCACTGTGGTACAAGCACATGGCTGACCCGGGCTGCCTCTGCGTGTGTGTGTGTGTCAGAGGGAGAGAGAGAGTGAGACATGCCAACATGGGACGAGGGAAGCAATTTTTTAAAATATCCTCTATTCTTGCTCTTTACCAGTTTGGTGGGATTACTAAAATACTTTGGGAGCTTGTCATTGTGGCAACTGCATGACAGCCAGACAGTGATGCCAATAATGAGAGCTTCCACTGTAAATCTACATAAAGGAAGGGATGGCAGTGAGGTGGCATATAACAGAATGATATGGTGTGTGGACGAAGAAGTGGTGGTTAAGAGAAAAGAGAGACTGTAAGAAGAAGCTGCAGGGAAGATGAGATATTTTCAAACTTTCAAAGTTGTTAACTGTCGCTCTTTCTAAAGAGTACAATAACGTTACAGCAGAGCTGACACACAGAATGCAAACACACAAACAAACACACACGGGGTCAGCTGTTCAGTCATAAAGCAGTGTTACAGTACTGGCTCCCAAATAAAAGGCTGCAGGCAGTTACCATGCAGAGAATGTGGGGGCCATGTGTACGTTTTGTGTGTGTGTGTGTGTGTTTGGACATGTGTGCGTGAGGGTATACACTTCTGTGTTGCTGGGTGACAGTGCCGATGACAGAGCAGTGAGATAAGTCCCAGAAGCCGCTCTATCATCTATTCATAGCTCCCTGGCAGTTGGGACCTCCTGCTGCTGAAAGCTGCCTGATCTCAAACCAGCCTCACTTTATCATCATTAACATCAACCAAAAAATACAGAGATGAAGTCAAACTGTGACGGACCGTAGCTAATGCTGCGATAAACATTCTAATAATGCAGTGACTTAAAGAGCTACAAATCTGCTTATGGAGTGTTTAGAAATCATTTTACATTTGCTTTGCATCTCAATCAAGTGGAAACTGTGGACAACTGGCTACAATGCACATCGACATAGAATGTAACAGATTATAAGAATATAATAGTGCTGGACAGCAGCTGTATGTATGCATAGAAGGGTCATAATGAATGTGTGTATGTGTGTGTGTGGACAGATTCTCTCAGTGAATAGAAATGAGTGCAATCACACACAAGGCTTGCACACATTGCCCACGCGCCTGGCTCGCCTCACCACTGCCAGGGAACCCAAAAGCCCCTACAAAACAAATTCATTAACCCAGACAATAAAACACAGCTGTGAGGGGCGATGGGAACTGTTTGAAATCAATGTGGAGAATCTGTTCGAAGCAATGTATTGGAAAGAAAAAAAATACTAAAAAGAGAAAAAGAGAGAGAGAGGGAGAAAAGCATTAGGAAATGAGAGAGAGTGAGCAAAGGAGCAGTGTTTAATTTAAACTCTTGCTGGGGACGGCGCTGACTGTGAGAGCGGAGATGCTTTATTGAAGCACAACAACAAACCACCAGATGCTTGAGATCCACAACCTGTTTTTAATTGAATCCTTTGAACAGGTTGTATAAAGGAAGTACAAACAAAACTGTCAAATACTATAAATATCATCACGGAAGTTGGGTTTGAATTTAAAAAAAAGGAAGAAAGAAGAGATATATGCTCCAAATCCAGATTCTGATATTGTGGAAACTGGCAATGGAAATACATCTGCACTTTATGATTATTATTTGTAACCTGTTAGCAGGGGATGGACAGGCATCTGTTTTATTCTATCCTGCTAGTCTATTTTAACTATATCAAAAGGCTTTACCTGTTCCAAACTCATACTCCAAACAATGTCAGTGCACATACTACTGTTATTATGGTGGTGGTGTGTCTAATGTGTTAGCGGGGGGGGGATAGACAGGCTGCTGGCAGAGCAGACTGCAAGGGAAGTGAAGCAGCCCTCAGGAGCTGGTCTGAGCATGGAATCACATGATGCTGTAGTTGAAGACACCACTAGAGGGCTCTGCAGCTTGTAGAATGAGCTTCTGCAGACCGGAACATGCCAAACTCGACCATGTCTTAGTCATACTGACCTCCCTTCTGCAGGGTCTGAGCCAAGCAGCCGGACAGATGCGGTCGCCAAAAGACTTACGACACTGAGATAGATGGAGGTACGAATAGTTTTACAGAGGGTGTCCAAAAAGTCAATGCCAGACCACATTTATTGAGAGTAACCTCCATGCTCTGCAGCTGCACAGAGGTGAAGACACACACTGACTGACCTCAGTGTTAATGATACTGTTACGCTCCATAATGGCACTACTATAAAACCGAATGAGTAAAGAACATGGTATAATGCACCTGAAATTAATATGGTATAATAAAAGTAAAAGATTTCCCAACAACTGTGACCAAAAAGCAAATATTAAATGAAAGCTGAGGTATTTTCCCAAGCATATATTCTTCATTTCTCAATAGTGGATGGATGATCATTATATTACATCACTCTGGACCTGTGGGTCATTTCAATTTCACTTAATCCAGCTGAAGGCAGCCATAACACAGTGGTTAAAAGTGCATTCCTGAACAAAAAGTTGACTGTTCCCATCCCTGGATAAACTGGGAAACATGGCTGGGGAAAAAGAACATAACACTGAGCAGCTACTGTCACAGTGCCTTTGAGCAATACCCTTAATCCCCAGGTCATCCGACTGGAGCTGCTCAGCTCAAATGCACAGAAAACTGAAAGCATAGAAGCTTTTGAGTGTATGTGTGGAACTAGTTGTTGCTGGAAAATTTTAGAAAAGATATTCAGTTTATGAGTTGATAGATAAAATTGGGTAGGGGGGAGGTTAATTTTTAGACTGTTGCCAATGGACCTCCCAGAATAGCCGCTTTTCACATCCTGCCTTGAACCTGGATGAACCCTCTGCAGCCGTTAGCTGCCCCTCAACAGAATCAAGCCATGAATCATCAGTCAGGGGTGAGGGCTCCGATCATCCAAATCAAAACCAGATGCACAGCAGGCACCTCCTTAGGTGTGTAAATAACTAAATAAATGAATAAATAAAGAAGTGCCTTTTTCTCATTTGTTTCTATAGTGTTGCCCTAACAAACTGAACGGATAGAATAACTGTACGATGTCCATTTTAACATTTGATTCTATGATGTTGGTTTTCGGGGTGACAGTCTACTCCGTAAATACACTGTATATACAAAGAATGTACTTGTACTAAGAATGTCTGTATTATTATTATTGCAAACACAAACATAGTGGGATCACTGTACCGTTAATGTGTCTTTTAATTTATCCTAGGAAGCCAACCATATCACTTTACGAAAGTCTTTACAAGGTCTGAGTCATCTGACGCACTCACTGCACGTCAGCACACATGTCCTCCCGTAAAGAATCCTAAGATGAGTAACAGTAAAATCACTCTGTCAACTCACTTAATTTCACCCCTGTCCCCCTCCTCTTCTCTCCCCTGTCCCCCTCCTTCCTCTGTGACTCCCATCCTCACCGCAGCTGGTAAATATTTTTATATTGTGTTCCATTAGAAAGCTTTATTAAGCGGTCAGACAGGGCAAATGGCGCCTGGGAGCTCCCTGTCCTGTAAACAATAGAAAGGGGCCTGAAAGCTGCAGCTGAGCACAGCACAGTAAACTAAGGTCACATTAGAGAACTGCCTTGCTCTGAGTGAGTAAATATTTAAATGTGTTAGACTCACCCAAAATAGTCAGGGGCAATAGTTAGGGGGCTGTGGATCTGGAAAACGGTCATGATGGATTTTTGAGCTAAACTGGCACGGCCCCATGCAGTGATTTGTGAATGGATGTATGTCAAACTGTGGTACAGCATTAAGATTAACAAGACGTCAGCAAGAGAGAGGTGATCTAAGGGCCAAGGTGTGATGTGTACTCAGAATTGTTGAATGTATGTACCTCAGCGCTTTTCTCAGGAGCGTCCATCCCCACCATGTTGTCTTTGAGAAGCTGCTGAAGGAGCTGCACCTGGGCAACGCTGAGGTAGAAATCCAAACTGCTGGTCACATTTACCTCCAGAGAGTGGCCACACACCACCACCTCCTAGAGAGAGATGAGATAGTACAGGGGGAAATGAAAAGAGGGAGGTGGGTGGAGAGAGCAGGAAAGACATTCAATAACACATCAGGATTGTTTGTGACCCCATGGCCTGCTTCTCTCTTTCTTAACTTTTACACTCGTGGTCTATTTACTTTCTATCTCCCCTCTGTCTTGCTCCGTTTAGCTCACTTGTTCCCTATTCCCCTCTTCCCTCTGTCCTCTCCAAGGTCCCACCCACAGCCAGCAGTTCAAACCTCAGCCTGGAGGCTTACATCTAACAGGATATCACTCACTAACACTCTGGGTTGAACCGCACACACATGGGCCAGACCTACAGTAACTACGCACAATGGTATTTGGCCACTACTGTGTAAACATAATCTATTCAGACCCACTGTTTAAAAACATAAAAGGACTGCTAATATTTCATTCAATATCCATTGGAACGTTAATATTGCAATTAGTTTTTTCTCATTTAGATGTATGAAACATATTTAGAGTATTATCCTTGTGATTATGATTAGTAGTGGTAGTAGCAGTAATTTTAACACATAAGGTCATAAGAACATAAGGTTACAATAATAGTTAAAAAATATCCTGAATGTAAATTTAGACTGTAGATCATAAACTGTAGATTTCAATAAATTAATTAATAATTTAATAAAGATAGCCATTACATTTATGTGGTAAGCATGCATACATTTAATTAGTTGAAAATACATATGAATTTTATTATTATAATGAATCTACACTATGTAGTTCAAAGTCCTGTTTGTGTTGTTACTGGCTCTGAGTCTCCATATCTCAGAGAGTCACACAAACCTCATTGTGTGTGTGTGTGTG